AAGGTTATTTACTATACATCTGTATAACTGTTCTTAACTATATACATATATCTTTACTAACTTTTCCTATTATTTCCTTAGGATAAATTCCTAAATGTGGACTTGCTGAGTTAAAGGCTTTGCAAAATTTACACTTTGATACGTAAAAGCAGCTAGTTAGCAATTTACACCTCTGCTGAGCGTACACATTTACCACCCTCTTCACCAGCCCTGGTGATTACTATCGTGCTTATTCCCATTCCAAACCGGGAAGTATCCAAGTATTAAAGCTACCAAGAGAAAGAAGAGCAGAAGTAATCATAATATTTTATATTAAGCTTTATTCAATTGTTTCACATCCAGTAAGGTCTAAATTGAGTCTAAATTACATTACCAATATAATGTTTGAGAAACGGTGTCTTCGTTGGCTTGGGCTGCCGTAACAAAATGCCACAGGCTAGAGTGGCTTCGACAACAGAGATTCATTTCTCACAATTCTGGAAGCTGAGAAGGCCGAGATTGAGATGCCAACAGGTAGGTTTCGCTGTGAGGCCTCTCCTCTTGGCTTGAAGGCAGCTACCATCTGGCTACATGCTCACATGACCTCTTTGTGCAAGACCTGGGGTGGGGGGGCAAGCTCTCCAAGTGTTTCCTTATAAGGGCACTAATCCCATCGTGAGGGCTCTACCCTCATAACCTCACCTAACCCTAAACACCTCCCAAAGGCCCCATTATATTTCAGGGTAGAGCTTCAACATATGAATTTCAGGAAGACACATGCGAACCAAGACAATGGAATCTCATTTTTGCTTTTAATTTCACTTCTTTAATTACTAGTGACATTGACTATTTTAATACATTTATTGGTCATTTCTTTTTTCTTTTCTTTTTTTTAACAAATTGCTGTTCTGATTCTAAATCTGGAATGGGAAGGGTATAGGATGAGCCTGAAACACCTCGTCATACCAGAAAGCAAAGAAGCTACCACAGATCACTAAAAGTGTATCGTAGGGACTTGGAGCCAACCTGAATAAGCCTATCTGCCCAACGATCGGGCAATTTGAGCATCAAAGGGATAATAACTAAAATGGACTGAAACACAACATCCACATATGCTAAAACAGTGGAGTTCATAAAGATACGTACGCAAAAAGAAAAAAACCCTCATCACCGTGGGAAGATGCTAGGCATCTAACATGATTTTGGGAAGTGGTAAATACAGGGAAATAATCAGATATTTTTCTCATCCTTCCTGTACACTCTGTACCTCAGGGTGAGCCCTACGTACTCTTCCATATAGCAAAACATACCACCATTATAACATTAGCTGGGAAACAAAACATCACCTGCATGAACCACAAATTTCAGAAAGATGTACCGTATGTCATTACCCATACAGAAGGTAAATGATAGAACCAAGCAAGGACTTGACATACATATTAGTTTTATCCTCCATGGGTCCTATATTTTAAAAAGGTACTACGCATTAATAACTACTTTATTTTCCTGTTTTAATTAAACAAAGGCATCTATAATTTCCAGTGAGAGCTGCTTATTATGTTACCATGGTTGTTAACATTTAGTAGGTGAAAATTTTAAATGTTTATAAACAAAATGCAGTATGTACAAACAATGGAATATTATTCAGCCTTAAAAAGGAAGGAAATTCTGACATCTGCAACAACATGGACAAACCCTGAAGACATCATACTAAATGAAATAAGCCGGTCACAAAAGGACAAATACTGTGTGATTCCACTTCTGTGAGGTCGCTAAAATAGCCGAACTCACAGAGAGAGAAGCAGAATGGAGGTTGCCAGGGGCCGGGGGAAGAGAGGATGGGAAGCTATTGTTTAATGGGTACGAAGTTTAGTTTAGGAAGACAAAAAAGTTCTGGAGACGGATGGTGGTGACGGTTGCACGACAACGTGAATGCACTCAATGCCACTGAACTGTACACTCAAAACTGGTTACGGTAGTAAACTTCGTTATGTATATCTTATCATAAAAAAAATTGTTTAATATGTTAAAATTTAGTAACTAAATTAACATTAGCCCCGCCAAATTAAAGGAAATTTGATACTTTAATTACATAGTCCCTGTGGCCTCAGCAGTCTCACTAAATAAAGGCAAATGTGTAATTTTAGTAAGGCTTTTGGCAATACTGAAACTACTCCACAGGATCCTAAATAGGAACCAGTGCAATAACTAAATCAAAGCATTTCGTAACAGAAGTTTTACCTAATTTTTAATGCATTTGATGAATCACATGCATAGTTTGGCCACTCGACGTATCTTCAATATTTCTCCTTTCACAGTAGAGAACTGGAAAGAGACTATTTGGCAAGGTAAATGCAATGGAACAGGTGAAGAATAATGTCCTAGCTTTGCCATGCACAAGGTAGGCACTCAGTAAACATTCCTGAATTTGAAAACTCAGTGAATCTGCAGTAAAACCCAAAAGAAAACCTGGACATCACTCTCCGTCTTACACACTATCTAGTGAGAGGGCTGACATTCGGCAGGGAGGACGGCTGCCATCTCTCTATCGGTCTTTCATTACTTGAGATCCCAACATCAATGTCGGATGGTTTAATGTAAAGTAGGTTTCATGTACCATGTATCCTTTCATGGGTTAAGAAAACACTTTTTTCTGTTAAAAGAGTTTTGGTGGGAAAAAAGTGTGAATAACCAAACTGCCACTCTCACAGATCCATATGAAAACTAGAAATTCAACATGATACATGTACCTTTTTGAAATGACGAGGTCATTATTTTAAACTATACAGTAATGCATACATCATATTATTATTTCTCAGGCATAGGAAGCAATTCCGGCTTTCCACACTTCTCCATCTGAAAGCTCCACTGTTAGAATTTGTTCCCTCTATGATTGCTCTAACTCAGTTTCACATACTTTAACTCTAGAGGTCAACACTTCCCCCATCCTGTGAGAAAATACTGCTACTTTCACAACCCTTACTAAAATAGGGCACTTGAAATTCTTAAAGGAAATTCACAACCTCGACAACTATTTCACACAAATTACTAGTCTTTAAATTGAGGAACTAAACACTAGATGTGGCTACTCATGGTTTATTCATATACTCATTTCCACCGCAGTAAACTATGAAGAAATAATGGGGGGGGATGCCTGAGAACCCCTCAGTCTGAATGTGACATATCACTGCAACATGTTGACATCAACTTGCAAATTGCCCAGCCAGATGACCAGGAGACTCAGGGGCGGTTCTCTGGGTTGCAGTGTGGCTGGCTATGTGCAAGATGCTGTCACTTCACTTTTCAACCTCAGCGATCCGGTGGTGCCCGGCCTGGTGGTGAGCACTCTCCAGGACCACACCACCCCCAGAGGCCCCTTGCCTGAAAGAAGTAAACCCGAGCTTACTAAGAAATGGAAACCCGAGACACAGAGGAGAAGAAAGGGGACCCCCCCACCACGCACACACCAAAGGGATAGTTACATTCTTCAAAACCTTAGAAATAAATTATTTTCCATGTGCATTTTTAAAACCTGCCTACTGGGGGTATCCTTAAGGTGCTGCTGACCTCCTGTTACCGCAAAGAACAAAGAGGAAGAGAAGCCCTCAAAGAGAGAGATCCAGGAACCGGCTCCCTGCAAGGGGAGCCGACTGTCCCCAAGGAGAAAAGTGTTAGAAGACTTTCTGATCACCATGGCAATTAGCAGGTAAGTCACATCCATTCCCCGATAGGACCGTGTCACACTCGTTTCTTTCCACAAAGCTAGATGGCCCTCACCTTTGCCAACCTTGAAGTGGTGTGACAGGAAAAAGTAGACGACTCCCCCTGCTAATTGCCCAAGCGGGTCAAACTTCGGAACCAGCATCATGCACTTTGTTTTGAAGCGCCGGGAAAAGAGGAAGGATTGGTGCTCGGCGCCGAATCTCCGTGATTTGCCAAAGGAAACGGCACAGACCAGACAGCCCAAGCGCCAGCATTTCCATGCAGCTGCCACGACAGGTGACCGGGCCGCTTTGCAGACACCCCGCTCGCCCCGGGGCTTCACAGAGGTGGGGTGGGCAGGAAGGGGAAGCGGGGGGAGGCAGACTGGAGGGCGAGAAGATGGGCAGCGGCAGGAGGGAAACCCACTCCATCCAGACGCTGGGGAGGAAGAGGAGGGGCACAGCCCCGTCTCCCCGGGGAAACCGTTTTAAGGGATTTTCTGTCTCCACAATTAAGAAAAAAAATGGCTCCAAGCCAAGCGCCTCCTGATTTACACACACACACGCACACCAAGCTCCTCTTTCGCCCCATTTTCTGATACGCTCAAAC